TCCTGCCTGTGCGGAAGCGGCAGCGGAGCCCGAGGGCGGGCCCGAGTGAGTGCGGGGCCGAGGCGAGGGCGCGTGTGAGACCCCTGGCTAGTGCTCCGGGAGTAAGCATCCCCCCTCGCTCAGGATGGACACGACGTTGCCGTCTGGGAAACGACGTGAGTCCGAGATCCGCGACGGGGTGGGATTTCCGGAACCGATAGCGGATATAGGGCATTCCTAGCGGAAGAGGTGCGAAGAGGCGGGACTTCCTGTAGCCACCAGAGCGGCTTGCCCTTTAAGCCATTTATCGACTTCCCCCTAGGCCGTCTCCTAGGATGGCCGAGGTGGGGGCCCCGGGACGCTTGTGGCTGGAGAGCCCCCCTGGGGGTGCACCGCCTATCTTCCTACCCTCGGACGGACAAGCCCTGATCCTGGGCAGGGGACCCCTGACCCAGGTTACGGACCGGAAGTGCTCCAGAAACCAAGGTGGGTGGTGGCGAGGCGGGAGGGGTGTGGCCTGCCCCAGGAGCGGGAACTCAGTCCGTGGGAAAGTCCATGGACTGTTAGTCCAGCCAGGGAGAGGGATGCTTGGCTACTGTGGACGTGCGCGGTGCACTCAGTCCGCAGTTGGTGGGTGCCCTCTGGGGAGCACAGGGAGAGAAGGCTTCTGCCTGACTTTGAACTAGCCAGACCGTTTCGGGAGAGGGGCTGGAGCCAGGAGAATTGTCACTGGGCAGAGAAGGATGCGCAGAGGCCATCGTGAAGGCCTGGAGCAGGACGCGACCTTTGTTAAGAGAGGACCCTAGGGAGAATAGTAAATGCCTCTAGGCAGGGAGGGAGGGTGACAGGCCAAGCTCAGACCTGCACCCAGCGAGGAGCAAACCAGTTCTGGGGAGAAGAGTTCCCTTCTTGTCCCTAGGCAGGGCTAGTGTCACACGCGGCCCCAGGGTCTCCCATGTAGCTGCTACATGTCAAAGAGCCAGTCACATTTAGAAACAAATCCCTCCCCCTGAACGGATGCCGTTGGGCCGCGCTCCTGGGTAATGCGGAGACCAATCACACTAGGAGGCAGAGCCTGACTCCCTCCCTCCCTCCCGCCCTCAGTGGAGCTGGTCGCAGACCCTGAGACGCGGACAGTGGCCGTCAAACAGGTACCTGGGTTTCTGCGAGACCCAGCGGTGGCCTGGGAGGCTGTACAGCCCGGCAGGGAGCAAGCCCATTGGGAAAACCCGATTGGCTGGAAGGGGAGAGGGTGTGGCCGGCCCAGAAGCTCGTCCTGCAGCCCTGGGGTAGCCCCCTCCCAGGTGGGCGGGGCTGGAAGCCTGTGGTCCTGCCAGGGCCCAGACTGGCGGTGCACGTGCGGGGCGGGGCCTAGGCTTCTGATTGGAGGTGCGGAAGGGCAAGTCCTTCTCCCGGTATCGGATTGGAGCAGCTGGTGGGGCAGGTTTTCCCCAGCTCTTCCCTGTTCCTCTGCAGCTCGGAGTGAACCCTTCCACTGCCGGGACCCAGGAGCTGAGGCCAGGGTTGGAGGGCTCTCTGGGGGTGGGGGACACGCTGTATTTGGTCAACGGCCTCCACCCGCTGACCCTGCGCTGGGAAGACACTTGCACGTCAGGATCCCAGCCAGATTCTCCACACGGCACCCCTCTGGTGGCCCCAGAAGAGGAGGATGCCAAGCAGCAGAAAAAGAGGATGCGGAAGTCATCCCCTGGCTGGGAGAAGTTCGAAAAGTTGCTAGTGTTCACTGCATCTGGGGTGAAGCCCCTTGGCAAGGTGAGGGCCCCGCGAGGGCAGCAGGAACCACCACAGACCGGGGACCTAACCCCAATCCTGCCGCATACCCGTAAACTTCTCCACTTCTTAGCCTCCACGTTTCCCAGAAATGGGCCCGAGGACAAGCGCGGCATCTGTCATGTCAGTTCCTACCTGTCTCATGGCAGCCACCCAGTGGTCAGCAGTGATCCCAGCCATCGCAGCAGGTGCAGAGAGTCATTTCAAATGCTGTTACTTCCGCATTCTCTGAGTCCCTCTTCTCTCAAATAGGGCTTTGTCTGAATTTCATATTTTTTAAATAATTATTAATTTTTTTTTGAGAGGTGTTTTGCTATAGGGTGTGTGTGCTTGCCAGAAAGACAGAGACAGAAAATGAGAAATCATCCCCCAGAGGGGATGGCCACACCACAATCCCTTCTCCTCCATTCTCCTCTCGGAATCTTGGCCACGCATGCACATGCACTTGGCGTGAATTTAAGCCACCAAGTCTGGGACTTGAACCACAGTCGACTACATGAGAGTCCAGCGACATAGCCATTGCACCAACTGCTGGTCCCTATTTATTTATTTTTTTGAGAGATTTTTGCTTTAGGGTGTATGCGCTCACCAGAAAGACAGACTGAAAGCAAGAAATCACCCCCCAGGGGCGGGGGGGGGGAGGATGGCCATGCTGCAGTCCCTTCTCCTCTATTCTCCTCTTGGCAGTTGGGGGTGCGCACACACACACACCCAGCATGTGTTTAAGCCACCAGGTCCGGGACCTGAACCGCAGTGGGCTACATGGGAGTTCAGTGGCATAGCCATTACACTAACTGCTGGTCCCTATTTACTTTTAATTTGACCAAAGAAGAGAAAATGAGAAAGCAAGTCACTAGGTCAGGGATTTGAACCACATTCAGCCATATGGGAGTCCAGCGAACTTAACCACCATGCCACCTGCTGACCCCAGTTTAAGCCTGAGAGGTGGAACAGGCTTGACCGGGTCAGATACGACCCCACATTAGAGACTGGGAGCTGGGGGGAGATAGGATAATAGAGACGGTAAAGGTTTTTTTTTTTTTTTTGGAGAGGTTTTCGCTATAGGGCGCATGCGCTCGCCAGACAGACAGACAGACAGACAGAAAGCGAGAAATCACCCCCCCAGGGGAGATGGCCATGCCGCAATCCCTTCTCCTCCATTCTCCTCTTGGGATCTTGGGCACACATGCACATGCGCCCGGGCATGAGTTTAGGCCGCCGGGTCTGGGACTCGAACCGTGGTCAGCTATGTGGGAGTCCAGCGACACAGCCATTACGCTAACTGCTGGTCCCCAGACAGTAAAGCTCTTAAGCTGTGCACATGGGCAGGACATCAGAGATGCGTTCCCACCATGCTTGTCTTTTTTTTTTTTTAATAATTATTTTACTTAGTTATTTAAATTTTACCAGAGTGAGAGAGAGAGGGAAAGTGAGAGAGGAAGCCTCCAAGTCCCAGACTCGAACTGCATTTGGCCATGTGGAAGTCCAGCACCTTCACCACGCCACCTGCCAGCCCGTCTATGCGTGTCTTTACACAAGACACACAGGCTTCCTGAGACTCGGCTGCCGTCTGCGAGACGGGGGTAGTAACACTCCGCCGCGCAGGGTTGGTGGGAGCTGGCATGTGGGAAGATACGAGGTGTCATGGTGCTGCTGTTCCTCTTCACTCGGTGACACCAGGTGGCTGCCTTTGATCTGGACGGGACCCTCATCACCACCCGCTCTGGGAAGGTCTTTCCCACCGGCCCCAGTGACTGGAGGTGATAAGGGACAACAGAAGGTAGGAGGGGAGCCTGGGTCCCCCTCTAGGCCCCAGGTCACCCTGTCTCTTCCCACGTTCCCTAGGATCCTGTTCCCAGAGATTCCGCGGAAGCTCCGGGAGCTGTGTGCTGAGGGTTACAAGGTGAATGCATGCATGTGCACACGAGGGCAGGCTGTGATCAGGGTGGGCCTGGTCACGAGGGCACTGGTGACTCCTCTGTCCCCCAGCTGGTGATCTTCACCAACCAGATGGGCATCGGGCGCGGAAAGCTGCCCGCAGAGGAGTTCCAGGCCAAGGTGGAGGCGGTGCTGGAGAAGCTGGGGGTGCCCTTCCAGGTACGCCGAGGGGCTGTGTGGCAGGACAGAGCCAAGAAGGCCTAAGAGAGACCCAGGCGGGGATGAGGGGGGTGGATGGGACGGAGGCGCAGCGTGTGACACGGAGAGCTCACTGTGAGCTCTGCATCCTGCTGGTTCTGCCAGGGCCGAAAGTGCTGCCTCCCCCCATTCAGGTGCTGGTGGCCACGCACGCAGGCCTGTACCGGAAGCCGGTGACCGGCATGTGGGACCACCTGCAGGAGCAGGTAAGCTGCACTGCCCACCTCTCCAGCCCCTCAGGCCCCACTCCTCCCAGTGTCTCCTCTGGTGGCCCTGCCCCACCCCCACTGCACCCCAGCATAAGCTCCCACGCTCTAGGCTCTCATTGGCTCCCTTCCTGCGTGCATCCGCCTGAGCCCGTCAGCTTCGGGCTGATGGTGACGTGTCCCTGGGGGCTGCAGATTAAACGTGCCAGCTGGGTGGGGACAGTGGCAGGAGTGGAGCAAAGCAAAGCAGGGTGTCATTCTGAGTGTAGGGTCAGAGACAGCCTGAGACAGTGAGTTTGAGCAAAGGTCTAGAGAAGAGAACAGACCAGTGGGAGCCACCGCCAGTGCAAAGGCCCTGAGGCATGATTACAGGGAGAGGCAGGGCCTCCTGGGCCACAGGACTTTGCGGACCCTGATGAGGTGGGTGGGAGATGGTGGTCCAGAGCGCGCCATGGTCAGTGACGGGCATAAGTGGCTGTGGGGACGTGCTAGTCACAGGTCAGGCCTGCTGCAAAGCATAAGCACCCCAGGGGCCGACCAAGCCTCCTCGATGCCTGTCTCCCCCAGGCCAATGAGGGCGTGCCAGTCTCCATCGCAGACAGCATCTTCGTGGGAGGTAAGGGCCAGGGGCTGCTGCCATGGGCCGGGACGCTCCCTCCAGGCAGCTGGTGGAGGGTCCTATGTGTTCCAGATGCAGCAGGACGCCCAGCCAACTGGGCGCCAGGACGGAAAAAGAAAGACTTCTCCTGTGCAGACCGCCTGGTGAGGCCCTGGCCCCGGCTCAGCCCATGCTGACCCCTGCCCGCACTGGCCCCTGCCTGCACTGACCCTTGCCGTTGCCACAGTTTGCCCTCAACCTTGGCCTGCCGTTTGCCACGCCTGAGGAGTTCTTCCTTAAGTGGCCGGTTGCTGCCTTCGAGCTCCCAGCCTTTGACCCGGTAAGGCCCCGGGACAGGAGCTGGGAGGCCCTGCAGGAACCGGGTGAGAGTCTAACCATCTTTCCGACCCTCCCAGAGGACTGCCTCCCCTTTGGGGCCTCTCTGCCTCCCCGAGTCCAGCTCTCTCCTGAGCTCCAGCCCAGAGGTGGTCATCGCTGTGGGATTTCCTGGGGGTGAGATGCCCTGACCCCTCAATGTCCCAGGTCCCCCTCTGGGTCCTCTGGCACCCCTGATACTGTCCCCTCCATCCCAAAGCCGGGAAGTCCACCTTTCTCAGGGAGCACCTTGTGTCGGCCGGATACGTCCACGTGAACAGGGTAGGACCCGTCTGCAGCCCGGTACCCTCGTCTCATCTTGGGCCCAGTGTCACGCCCCAGGCACTGCCTACCCCTGCATTCCTGTCCCTCCATGAGTCCCTGTCCTTCAGGGTCTCCCCACAGTTGGTGACAAGCTCCCTCCCTAGGACACGCTGGGCTCATGGCAGCGCTGTGTGAGCCTGTGTGAGACTGCGCTGAAGCAAGGGAAGCGGGTGGTGGTCGACAACACAAACCCAGACGCCGCAAGCCGTGCCAGGTACAGGCCGGAGGGAGGGTGCAGGGAGGCCAGAGACCAGGATGCTGACAGCCCCCTGGTCGCAGGTACATCCAGTGCGCCCGGGCTGCTGGCGCCCCCTGCCGCTGCTTCCTGTTCACCACCACGCTGGAGCAGGCTCGCCACAACAACAGGGTGAGCACTCGCCTGCCCTGTCCATCCGCGCAGCCGCAGCCCCAGGTCCGAGCCCTTCCTGTTCTCCCACAGTTCCGTGAAATGACCTGCTCCTCCCACGTGCCAGTGTCCGATGTGGTCATGTTCGGCTACAGGTACCGGCCCAGGGCCCGTAGGGGGGACACAGCTGGGTGGGCCTCCCCTCACTGCAGTTTCTGCCCCAGGAAGCAGTACGAGGCCCCAACACTGGCCGAAGGCTTCTCGGCCATCCTGGAGATCCCGTTCCAGCTGCGTCCTGAGCCCCGGCTGGCCCGTCTATACCGTCAGTTCTCTGAGGGCTGAGATCCCAGCCCCCCTCCCACAATAAAGGATCTTTCTTTAGAGGCCTGGCCAGCATCATCCTGGGAGGGAGGGGCCCTGGCTGGGGCTGGGGCAGGTGCACCTGGAGGCCTCAGTCGTTTCCAAGTAACAGGAGGTACCACGCTGGCCTGGGCGGTGCCCTGGGCCTGGTCAAGGACATCGGCTTCCCTGGGGCCTGGTGGAGGCCACCAGGTGGAGGCCAGGGAACCCTGAAGGCAGGGCACTGGGGGGACTCCAGCACTAGTGAGGGGTCTACACAGCCCAAGTTAGAGCCGGACTCAGGCTGGGCAAGGGGCTTGGGGTAACGGGCAGCTGTGTGCGGGATCCGGTGAGCTGAGCGCTGGGCTGGCCCAGCCTGCACCCCCAGTCCCAGGAGGCAGCCTGTTACCTGTGGCAAAATGAGGCCTGCTGACCACAGAGGGAGAGCGTGGACCTGAGCCTAGCCAATGCTGAGCCAGCGCCAGGACCCTGACGTGCTCAGGTACAGCGCTGCCGCGGGGGTGGGGCTGTCACCCTCTCCTTGCCTGGCTGTCCACAGACCTGGGGCACTGAAGGGTTTTTAAAAGACTTTATTGGGGAAACATACAGGGTGGGGACCGTCCTTGCAGACCTGTCCTCTGTGTCGCTGGGCAGCTGCAGTCCCCAGGGGACCCTGCTCAGAAGCATCTGACCTGGGGAAGGGGATACAGAGGGGCCGGAGAAGGGCTTCTAGCAGCCCCTGGGGCCTTAGAGCACAGCCCCCACCCCTTGGCACACCCACCCCACGAACCCTAGCCCTACACGGCCTGGAAACAGCACCTCCTGGGGTCCTTGCTGAGGAGGGGCTGGAGTTCCCCAGGAGGCTCTGGATGCCAGGAGCAGCTCTAATGGCCTAAGGCGGGATCCCCACTCCCCGAAATGCCCACGCACCTGAGCATCCAGCCGCATTCAACACGCCGCCACTCACCAGTCTCCGCAGGGGCCGTGTCTGTGACTCCTGGAGGGGCCCGGCCAGGGGTGGCCACTACCCCCCCATCTGTGGAGGAGGGAGGGTCAGCCGGGTAGCCGGAGGGTCAGGCCCTCCCCGCCTCCCCACTCCCCGGCCTCACCCCTCGCTGCTGCTGCTCCTGCTCCAGGTTCCGCTGCAGGACCTGCTGCTGGTTGGCGATGACGCGTCGGATGCCGTTGACGAAGTTGCTCTGCTCGTGGGGGATGAGGCCGATGAAGATCTTCTTCTCCGAGGAGTACAGGAGCATGAGCACGCGGATCTCACACGAGGCCTTGTAGGAGAAGTGCACGCAGCCGGCCTGGCAGGTGCAGGGCAGTGTCACCGCACAGTCCGGCCAGCACCCCCGCTCCAGAGCTGCCACTGAGAGCCAGGCATGTCCTAACTGCCCAGTTCTTGTGACCCCTCGGGGTAGGCACTGCTCTGACCCCCATCCAGAGGACCAGGCCAAGAGCACTGGGTAGGCCAGAAACCTGCACCTAACAAGCCCTGGAGGGACAAACCCTCAGAGCGTGCTAGGACAGGAGGCGAGACACCACTCCCAGCACAGCCACCCGGCGGGGACAAGTGTCATGGACAGGCTCTGGCCACAACTCACTGACAACTCCCACGCCCATCCCTGATGGATCTCACTAGACCCTGCACAGGGATCACCTCACGGGAAACTGAGGCAGAGCTCAAGGTCCTGTTTGGGCCTTATGCCTGTGACCACCTCGGGGACCTCAGAGAAGCTGGTCTCTGGAAGGAAGCTCCTAGGTGGCCTAGGCTGTGCCTGTGCCGTCCCGCCATGGCCACCTGAGCGGACTGGCCAGTGCCAGCACCACACAGGGGCCCAGGGTGCACCCGGGAACCACCTTTGGCTCTTGAAGTTACTTTAACGGGAATACAATGCATGCCGGGCCAGCAGCGGCGCCCTCGCAGGGCTCACTCCCTGTGCTGCCTCCAAGGGATGCTCAGGACTCAGCCCGGCCAAGGCTCGTCCAGGATGGAGGGCTCAGAGCACTGAAGGTCAACCCTCCTCACCTTCCGGATGGAGAAACTGAGGCCCACACAGAGGAAAGGTCTCAGCCAAGACCCCCAGACATGGTAACCAAGAGTCCTCAGGGCTGGAGGCTGACCTACTGCCCCGCCTGGCAGGGGACCTTTGAGAAGCAACACTCTTGGGCTGCTCTTCCAGGGGGGACCCTGCAGCAACGGCAGTGCTGTCACTGGCGAGCTGGGAGCACGTGGACAGTGGCACACGGGCCTGTGAGCTGGGAGGAGTGCTGGGAAGCCCGTGCTGCCTCCGCTCCCCACCAGGCACCTGCCCCACTTACAAAGCCGTTGTCCATGATCCGGCACAGGCTCTTGAGCGTCTCCAGGTCCTTGGTGAAGTGGAACTGCACCAGGCGGGAGTTCCGGAACAGTGGCACCAGGGTGGTCTACGAGAAGCCAGGAGCCATGCCTTGGGTGCCAGCCCTGCCCCGCGTCTCCTGCTTTCCACCGGGCAGTCTGCTCTCGGCTTTCCCTTCAGGAAACATCACCCAACGCCTGCAGGGGAGCCTTCGCCAGCCCCTGCCCCTGCAAGGTTCTGCTGTCTTGCCAGCCTCAGCTCATCTCCTCACGTCTGCCCCATTACAGCCCCACATGGCCCCACCCTGCCCCCTTTACCCGTCTGCAGGCCTCAGCCCAGCGTGAGGCCAGGGCAGGTCCTGGGAGCTCTCAGCCCTGCACCCCTCAGCCGCTGCTCACTTGCGGCAGGAGCCAGTTGCTGCCCTGGTTGTGCATCCTCTAGGGCGCCTCCCAGGACGCTCCTCACCACCTGGGGCACCCCGCCAGCCTGGCCACTCACCAGCAGCTGCTGGGGGATGAGCTGCATGTACAGCTTCCGTGGCCACTGCTCGGTCCTCCTGTGGGACACGTGAGACCAGGGTGAGGAGGCCCGTCCCTGGGAGGGTAGCCGCCACCCAGCCCAGCACTCACAGGATCTCCCCTTGGTTCACGTAGACGTGGGAGGGCAGCCATCTCTTGGACCGACCGTTGGGCTCAGGCCTGGGCTTTTGGGGGAGAGGAAGACAGGAGACCTCAGGGGTGGGAGATGCAGGACCTAGGCCCCACGGCCCACCAGCGCTGGGGCGGTAGCAAGCTCCCAGGCCCCCCCCTGGCCCTAGACCACCTCCTGCCACTCCATGACACCACTCCATGCCAGGAACTTGTTGTTGACGATCTGGACGGGGCCTGCATTGACGCCACCAGGTCCCACTGCCTGCCAGCAAGGAAGACAGACAGGGCTGTTTACCGGGAACGGGGCCCTTGCTCGTCACCTGGACTGTCAGCCCTGGCCCCACAGCCCTCGGCACTCCCCAGAGGGGCCTGATACAAGTCCTGGCCTTCACCCTGTGCATGGCCTGGCTGCCTCTGTGAGCCAAGCAGCTTGCTGTACAGGGGGTGCTTCTGGGCATTACCTGGCAGCATGGACCCAGACACGGGGCAGCCCGGCCCTCTCCAGGAGATTGTGCCGTTCACCTCCCCTGCTGCCCAGGGATCCCTCACTGCCAGGACACTGCTGTACCGCCACCCTTTTAAAGAGTCACTGGAGACTCCAGTGGGAACAAGCCTGCACACTTGATAGCACACCCACGCTCCCAGGTCATACTGGGCCACAGCGAGCCGGGCACCTACCTGCTTGCGGGTGGTGATGACCTGCCGGATGGCATTGACAAAGCCACTCTGGTCATAGGGGATGAGGCCCATGAAGATCTTCTTCTTAGACGAGTACAGGAGCATGAGCACGCGCACCTCACAGGGGGAGATGTGCGGGAAGAGCATGCAGCCCGCCTGCAGGGGAGGGGTGGGTCAGGGGCCCCTGCAGGCAAACCCGAGACTGCCTGTCTAGGGGAGAAGGAACTGAGGTCTCCAATGGGCAAGGCTCCTCAGTGAGGGCCGTGCACCTCACCACTGGCCCAGTCGTGGAGCCTAGGACCCACACCTGGGTGGTAGGGTCCCTGGGAGGACCGTTCTCTACCCCTCTGACACCAGCCCTGGCCTGTGAGCTGGACCATGTCTGCTGCCTGACCCAGGCACCGTGGCTTAGGAGCTCGGGGCCACGCTGCATCACACACTGGGTCTACCTCCTAGCTGGGTGACCTAAGGCAAGCGTCCTGTTTCTGGACTTCAGCTGCCACACCTGTAAGATGGGACACAGTGAGCTCTAAATGCTCATTAAATGTGATGCGAGGAGGACATGAGCCTGATAATGTCCCTGTTCGCAGGGTCTGGACAAAGGAGTGGACGTTTCTGACATCCAAGCCTTCCCCCCCACGCACACACTGGTCCACCTCACACTGCCCCTCTACCTGTCACCCAGCTTCTCTTCCCCCATGCAGCTCAGGGGCCATGTCCCTGGCAAATTGGTGCCACACATGGTCACCTTCCCAGGGCCACGCAGTGAGGGTGTGTGCTGACGTCCATCTTTTTTTTTTAATATCTAATTTTGTAATTATTATATCTTAATTTGATGAGAGAAAGAGAAAGTGAGAAGGCAAGCCACCAGGTCCAAGATGTGAACCATGGTCGGCCCTGTGGGAGTCAGCACCTTCACCACCACGCCACCTGCTGGCCCCGCAGTCCATCTTCACTGCAGACCAGGCTGTGGGGGCCAGCACAGAAGGCCCTTGGCAGACGGCACTGAGTGGAGGGTAAATCACAAGCCTGGTCTAGACCCTGACAGGGCAGCGGCTGAGGCACCAGAGGTCATGGCACATGCAGAAGTCGATCCAGGCAGTAGGGAGGGGCCGGCTGTCCCAAAGAACAGGAACTAGGACAGGCCAGAGCCCAGTGTTCTGGGCATCCTGGGCCAAGACCTGCTCCCACCTGCTCCCTCGCACTTGCTGCCTGCCAGATCTAAAACCAGAGCCTGGACCACCAGGGGTTTGTTCTGCATTCAGACCCCAAGCCCTTTACGATCTGATCTCTCCAGCTCTCGTTTGCTGCACATTCGCAAAGTTCGAAATTGCTGGTTCAAGCATTTGCCCAGAACTCACCCCACCCCGCCTCTCGCTGAGCCTGGAAGGCCGGCATCTGTCGTGCAGTGCAGGTGAGGAAACTGAGCCGCACATTAAGTGGCCCCCTCCTGGCCACACCCACAGGCCAGGTCCCTGCCTACGCTGTGGCCCAGCAGGGCCCCTGGCTCCCTCTGTTCACTCATCGCTGACGCCAGTTCTCCACTGGGCATGGGTTCGAGAGCCTGAGGCAGGGTCTGCGGCGATTTCCTTTACTCTGCTCTACTGATGGTTTTCCTGGGCTCGCAATTCAGACAGGCTGAGCTGCCAGGAGAGGAAGCAACTACCCTGGACCCCCGGGGACGATGGCCAGCCGGCCCCTGCGTGTGAGCAGAGTTCGCCCCCGCCCACCCTGCACACCGCCCGCCTGACTCACGAAGCCGTTGCCCATGACGCGGCAGAGCCCCTTGAGCGAGTCGCAGTCTCTGTTGGTGAAGTGGAACTGTGCCAGTTGGGAGTTGCGGAACAGGGGGCCCAGTGTAGTCTGGGGTGACAAGGGGACACTGAGTCAGGCTGGGATGTGCGCACCCTGGGGGCGGGCGGAGCAGGCAGGCGGGGGCAGGTCTCACCAGCAGCTGCTGGGGGATGAGCTGCATGATCAGCTTCTGTGGCCACTGGTCGGTCTCCCTGCGAGGAGGAGCAGGTCAGGGGGACCCCTGACTGCCACCCACCCGTGCCACCTCCAGACGTGGTCCCCGGCACTCACAGGTTCTCGCCCTGGTTCACGTAGGCCTGGCAGGGCAGGGTCCGCTTCAGCTTTGCCGTAGAGTCAGAGTAGGGTCTGCGCTTCTGAGGGGACAAGGAGGTGTCATAGCACACAGCCTAGATGCATAGCCTGCCCCCCACTCAGGGGATCCCCACAGAGCAGCTCACCTCCTGCCACTCAAGGACGCCACTCCAGGCCAGCAGCTTGTTGCTGAGCCGGTGCTCATTTACGGCCAGACCCCCAAGGGTGAGCCCAGGTGACAAGGGGCTGATGGGACCCAGGGCCCCGAAAACCCGAGCGCCTTCCTGCAGCAAAAATGGGAGGGGAGACCGAGGCTGGGGAACTTGCAAGGACAAGCAGTCGCCATCGACTCCAGAGGACACTTCGCATTAGCCAGACCCACATTTCTTGCCAGGCCATGTCCAAACCCCTTGCCAACCCCACGACCCCAGAGGCTGACCTACAAGTCCTTTTCCTGCCACCAGGCCGGAGCGACTAGAGGCCTAACTCAGCGGGCTGGGAAGATTCCCTGCACCCCAGCCCAGCCAGGGGCCTCCTCACGGCCCCCCACCACACACAAGCCAGCCTGGTTTGCTCCGTCCCACCCAGACTCCAGATCTTCTAAGGCTCCCTGGCACCCTTAAGAGACAGCTGAGTCTCCCCTCTAGCACGCCCAAGCAGTCACTGGCCTGTGCCATACATCAGACTGACCCCAGGGAGGGAGGAGCTGGCGAGAAACACAGGGCATGGACCAGCAGATGGCGGAATGGTTACATCGCTGGACTTCCACAGTCGACCATGGTTTGAGTCCTGGACCTGGCGGCTTAAAACTATGCCTGGTGCGTATGTGCGCATGCCCAAAATCCCGAGGAAAACGGCGGAGGAAGGATTGCAGTAGGGCCACCCCCGCCCCCATGGGGAGAAGGGTGATTTGCTTTCTGTGTCTCTCTCTGGCAAGCACACATGCCCTATAGCAAAAATTTCTCTTTAAAAAATAAATAAAATGAAAATATAATATGACCATGGTTTGAGTGCTGGACCTGGTGGCTTGCTTTCTCATTTTCCATCTCTGTTGCTCTCTCTGTCCCTCTCTAGTCAAATTAAAATAAGTGACTTTTTAAAAAGAGGTTTTTACTATAGGGCATGTGCACTTGCCAGAAAGACAGAGACAGAAACCAAGAAATCACCCCCAGGGAGGATGGCCATGCCTCAATCCCTTCTCCTCCATTCTCTTCTCAGGACCCTGGGCACGCACACACGTGCCCCACATGAGTTTAAGCCACTGGGTCCAGGACTCGAACCGCGGTCGGCTACATGGGAGTCCAACAACATAGCCATTATGCTAACTGCTTGTCCCAGTAACTTTTTTTTTTTTTTTAAAGAAAATTTGAAAAGGGGGCCAGAAGGTGGTATGGTGGTAAAGGCACTGCCTCCCACATAGCTGACCGTGGTTCTAGTCCCCAACCTGATAGCTTGCTTTCTTGCTTTTCCTTTCTCTGTCTCTCTCTGATCAAATTGAAAAATAAATAACAAATAAAATTAGATAAATAATTCCTTTTAAAAAGAAAGGAAACACATAGAGCAATACAAGCATCCAGGATAAAGATGAGTCGGGGGAGACTTCTGGAAAAGGGAATGACAGCACCTGGAGGGATGTTACCCACCTCAGAGCACAACACCAGGGAAACTGCCAGGCCATAAAGCCAAGCCAAAGCTCGGAATCTATTCACAGGGTAGTCTCATTATCTTTTTTAAAAACAAAACCATTTCAAAGCAAACAAGGGATGGCTTCAGAAACAGCCTAGCAGCACAAAGCCAGTGGAAATGTCAGTGGCAGGTGCCTCTGGGCAGCAGAAAGAAAATCAGAAGGGCAGTTACTTTGTCTCACTACTAAATCTCACTACTAAACAGGGATTTTCCAAGCTTCAGAGAAAGAACAAGACATCTTCTGCCCCAGAATCACAGGCAAGGAGAACTTCATCACTGCGGGGACTTACAAAGGGAACACCCTAAACAAGCACACCCTCCTGGGCTGGTGATCCTGGGCTGCCGGTCAGTCCCTCCAGGTCAGGACAGCGCCGTTCCTGGTGCAAGCATGCAGCGTGTGTGGAAAGGTGTGTCTGAGATAGAGGGGGGTGCTGAAACCCCAGGGCTGCAGGCACCACCACCACGGCTGGGACCCATGGCTTCTGAGATAAGGCAGGGAGAACACAGCTGGAGGGGGCTTTAGATAGAGTACTTGTGACACACCGGACCGCAGGATCTCACTGTGCTTGGACCTGGGAGGTCATGACATCTTCATGCTTTAGGGCCCAGACTGTGGCTACACCAGGGTGCCTGCCCTCACAGCCTGGCAAATGGGCTTAACTCCAGAGCCCAGCCTAAGTTCTAGCAACACAGTTAACCAGTTACTGGGGCCAGATGGGATCTGCCACTTAGGACCTGCACGACGTTTGAGTATGGAACCACATAAGCAATGCCGGGGATGTCTGTCCAAGACCGGGTACGCTTGGACCGCAGGATGAGCAGGTCAAGGTGGGAGAATTACATTAAGGACTGAGCTCTGGGGCACCCCTTACAAAACCCCCCACCTGAGAGAGGGTGCACACTGAGCCGTGCTTCCCACTTGGTTTAAGCTCGGGAGAAGCCCATTTAGCACCGGTCTTAGCGTGTACATGAAAAAGCCCAAGCACACCTCCACTCCCGAGCCAGCAGTTTTTCAGGCTGGGAGGCAGGAGGGAGCTGGGGCACGTTTAAGTTGGGAAAGCCTTGGAGTCGGGGTGTCTGTGTTTAAGATCTGAGGAGGTTAGGCACAAGCCCAGGGAGACCTGACATCTGGGCAGGCACGACGGGCTGTGCGTGAGACGTCCAGAGGTGCGGGTTTACGGCCCGGGCAAGCCGTACACGGTGCCCGAAGGCTGCGCGCCCCGGGTCCGGGGAAGGCGTGCAGCCCCATGTACCCGCTGAGCACTTGCATCCATCAAGTACAACCCACAGAAGCCTCCCACATCTGGGCGAGGGCACCGCGCCGGCCGGGAGGACGAAGCCCCTGATGCAACACTTGAGCTAGCGCGATCAAAACGCGGGACACCCCCCACCCCCAACCTTCCCGCAGCCC